TATTGCTTTTGTTATAGCAAAATCTTCCATTTTATTTGCTTATAATTAAGGAAAAGGTTGAGAGAGAACTTCCTGTTCTTGGACATAGGCTAAGGAGGGCTTCTTCTTTTTTTTTTTTTTTAGAAAGATTGAGAAATAAAGTCCTTATTTCCTGGATTGAGAAAGAACAGAAAAGGCTCCGTGTGTTTGTAAATATATTGCATTGCACAATGTTCTTCACTCATTAACCATGTGGAAATCATAGCAAGGGAATGAAATCCCACGTGGGATTTCTTAGTGGAAATACATTTGATCTAAACTTGATTGAAGCATCACTTCAGGAGAGACAGATTAGCAGCAGTGATGAATGTGCAGGTTTCTCAGAGTTGTGCTGCCTTCCTGAAGCCCGTGAGGTTTCCGTTTGAAACTCTAAAATTGATTTAACCAGGTTGGTTTTTGCAGTAGTTGTTATTCTTGCACACTTTGGTTTAGATCTTTGCAGTAAAGAAGCAAACTGGGCCCCTCATTTCCCGGTGGGAAGCTGGGGGGCAGGATTTCAGTGGGCAGCAGCAGATTTCTCCTGCCAGGCTGTAATCTCTGGATAACAGGAACCCTGACGCACCCCCTGAACTCCAGCTCTGCGCTGGCACTGCCATCCCGTTGATAAACATGCCAGCTGAGCTCTGTTAGGCACAACATAATGGCTTTGTGTATCTTGTCATGATATTTGTTCCCCGGGATAAAATATGGGACCTGCAAGTAACACACAGGCAAACATTAACATGCTTGTTCCTTGTTCTTCCTGGGTTATTTATAGCTCCCTGTTTACAGGCTGGAGCAGGGATACTGCAGGATCTAATGCATTGCATCAAATTATAAAATGGTATTAGGAGGCCTTGTGCTGTGGCTGGTCAATAGCCATGGAAACCACTTCATAAAATATAACTGTGTCTGTCAGCACCGGCTGCAAGCCGTGGGATTTCCTAAAGCTGCTTCCCAGCCATCGTTATCCAGAGCATTTTTTTTTTTAATTGTGCCACAGTTTGTCAGCAGTGAACAGAACAAACAGCAGTGCTGACAGAACCCTGTCAGAAGGAATGCTGGAAAGTTAAACACAAGTGGTGAAATTGAAATGTTTGCCCTAAAAAAAATCCGAATTCTCTACCTGTAAAAATTAAACCATTTGTGCTCTGGAGCCGCTTCCACGTCTCATCCAAACTTATCCATAGGTTTGAGCCTCGTTATTCCACCAGCCCTGTACTGTAAGACTATTTTAATTCAGCAGCTGTCGCTCCCAGATGCCTTCTGTGAGCAGCTCAACATCTCCCGCCCCATTAAGAGGCAGACACAGAATTTGGTGCATGTCATCTGTGCAGAGGAGAGCAAATTTAATCAGTGTTGTGCAGTCTGCTCCGCGAGGCGCTGCAGAGCAACAGGTCACTTCTGATTTGGTGTTGCAACTCTTTGGTTCTTTCATATTTAAAACCATTTCGGGGTCTCTGTTGGGCTTGGCTTGAAGAAAAGGAGTAGCTGCTCTTGCTGCAGGCCAAGGGAGAGCAGAGCATGATGCCTGAATTAATGGAAGACTAGAACAGGGAGGAAAAGCTGAAGAATCCGATGTAAAGGAGGAAGGAAAATCTGAAGAAGAAATCATTTTAAGCAAGCCTTTATTGTTTTGTTAAGCTTTAGGACTTCTGAGTTTCTCAAATTGATTTTTGTGTGCTTTTTGTGTATTAAGAAGTTTATCTCTTTGTGTGCCAAGGGGGGCACAGCTATTTTATAGTTGGGTATCTCCCACTGCCTCAATGGCCCAGGGATAATGCTGCACAGCACCAATAAAGGTGACACCATAGTTGGCCAAAATTTCAGAATGTCAGGACTGACTTCATTCCTACTTGGAAAATTTGGAATAGCATTTCAAGGTCCCTCTAATTCTGTTATTCCCATGGGCTCTATGCTAGGCTTGCATTCCCAGTAGGGATTTTTGATATCCCGTGGGTTCAAAGGAAAACAGTTTGTCAAAGGCTTTTTAAATAGAGTTGAATCCCAACACAAAACAAATATAAAATAGTTCAGTTAAAGAATCTTAATAAAATAAATTAAATGGTCCATTGAGAATTCAGATGCACCATAATAAGTCTTTGGCAAAATGAGGAATAGGGAATTTTGGGTGTTTTCATTTTAGATTGCACTCTCCTGTTTCCCTGTGCTGTTTCATCCTTGGTTGGAGTGTTCCAGCTCTGGTTTCTTCTTATTCCCTACAGCTTTTCCTGTCACCTTTTCCTGTGTATGCTGTTAACTGAGGCTGCAAAAGCACCGTCCCTCTGATACAGCCCAGGAGGCAGCGATGGCAGAGCCAGGAACTGAGCTGCATCCTCGAGTTCCCTGTGGATTGTCTGCTTTTAAATGTTTCTTCATTTAGTTGCTTTTTCATTCTTTGTGATGAGCTGCAGACAGGAATTATATCGCTCTTTGGGATACTGGGAGTGGTGTGAGGGCACCAGCCAGAGGTTTGTGGTGCCAGGGGCGTGATCCACCTTCCCCTCGGTGTAGTGAGAATTCCTTGGTAAAATTCAGGTGGTAAAAATGAGGAGTATGTTTGTGCATTAGGGACCAGTTACACACTGTAGGCACTCGATACCTTGCTCTCTAGACATTTGTGTGACTTCTGCCTGTGTCTGGGGGGGCTGGTACTTTGCTCTTAGCAAAAATTTTCTGTGTTCAGGAGCCCAGGCGCCCCCAGTGCTCAAATCCCAAGTGCTGGTCGGCTGGTTGGAAAGGAGCAGGTGGGTAGGAGTAAATCATACACTGGAAGGGACTGTAATCTCAAAGCCTTTACAACTGGTGGTTAATTCTCCTCTCCGTGCCCCCAGGCACGTTCTTGGCGAACTCTGCAGTCTTGCTGGTTTTGAGGGTCAGGGTTGGGCGAGGATAGAACCCTGTGGGAGCAGAGCTGCAGAATAATGTGCATGAGGTTCCAAAGGGCCTGTTCACTCCTCTCCAGGACTGTGGTGGGAGCTGCTGAGGTGCAGAGTCCTCTGTTTGAGCAGAGAATTACCCTTTCTGGGATTCCTTACACCCTTCACAACAAGGAAGCCTCTAATCACTGCCCGCCTCCTTCAAGCAGATGTTTGTTAAAAAGGTGTGATCCAAAATACATTGCCAACTTATTTCTTTTTAGGGAATTACTAATTCTCAACTCCTTCCCTTCTCTGGAATATTAGGGCCCACATACTCGACATCCCTTATCTTTTTTGCAGGCAGTATTTGGTATTTGCCTGTTTCTTTTTATTGGGGAATCACTAATTCTCAGCTCCTTCCCTTCTCTGGAATATGAGGACCCACATACTCAACATCTCTTATCTTTTTTGCAGGCAGAAATTGGTGTTTGCTTGTTGTTTATACCTGTGTATGATGTGTACAGGAAAGGAAAAGCTTTTTTTTCCTCTTGTTTCTTTTTAGGGAATTACTAATTCTCAAGTCCCTCCCTTCTCTGGAATATTAGGGCCCACATACTCAACATCCCTTATCTTTTTTGCAGGCAGAATTTGGTGTTTGCTCGTTGTTCAGACCTGTGTATGGTGTTAATGGGAAAGGAGAAAGCCCCCCTTTTTATTTATTATTTTTTTGCTGTTTATAGAAAAGGGAAAAGTCCTCCTAGGGGAGGACTGGCCTTTCCACAGAAGAGGGACTTTTAGTCTTAAATGTCTTGGTGCTGGTTCTTAAATCTCCTGGTGGTGGCTTTTGAGTGTCCTGGTGGTGTTTTTTTGAGGGTCCTGGTAGTGGCTTTTGAGTGTCCTGGTGGTGGTTTTTGAGGGTCCCGGTGGAGGTTTTTGAGTGTCCTTGTGGAGGTTTTTGAGGGTCCTGGCGGTGGTTTTTGAGGGTCCTTGTGGAGGTTTTTGAGGGTCCCGGTGGAGGTTTTGAGTGTCCTTGTGGTGGTTTTTGAGGGTCCCGGTGGAGGTTTTGAGGGTCCTTGTGGAGGTTTTTGAGGGTCCCGGTGGAGGTTTTGAGTGTCCTGGTGGTGTTTTTTGAGGGTGCTGGCGGTGGTTCGTGTTGGGGGTGCAGGTGAGAGGCTCGTCACGGGGTCCCAGCGCTGCGGGCAGGGGATGGGTGACACCCGGCCATGGATTTACCACGCGAAGGTGCTGGAAAAAGGAGGAGGAGGAGGAGGAGGAAGAAGAGCCGGGCAGGGAGCGGTGCCGAAGGGTTATTCGGGGTTGGGGGTGTTGCTGAGGGGAAACGCGAGGGGCTGAGGGGAGACGTGAGGGGAGGGATCGAGGCAGCGGCTGCTCGGAGCGAGGGAAGGGGGGCGCCGCTACCGACCCCGGGGCCGGGGGGGCGGGACCCGGCGGCGGCTTCCGCGGCTCTTCCCCGGCTGTGCCGGGCTCGGGCCCGCGGCCGGCGGGGGGCCGGCGATCCAGGCCGCCTTTTGCGGCGCGCCCCGCGGGTGCCGCCGCCCAGCCCCGCCGCCATCACACGCTGGGCGGCCGCCGCCTCGCGCCCGGCCCTCGGCTGCTCCATCGGCTCCGCTCCGCGCCCGGGCTCGGCTCTGGGCTCGGCTCCGCGCTCCCGGCCTCGGCCGCCGCTCCGAGCCCCCCGGAGGAGGAACGCGGGGGCTTTGCGAGGATTTAACCCCTGCGGCACCTGCTCGGCAGCGGCTCCCGCGCCCCCCGATCCCGGCGCTGCGCAATTTCCCTCGGCGCCGCGTTCCCCGGCCGGGGAGCTGAGCCCGGGGAGGACGGGCTGTGGCGCGGCGTCCCCGAGCTCCGAACGCTGGAAGTTTGACGTGGAAGGGGATGCGGTCGGAATTTTTCGGTGTGTTTTCAAAGCCCTTTCCCCCCCCCCCCCCCACCGCCGTGTAGGTGCGTTTGCTTCCACCGACAGACCTTCGGCTCCCGGCGCCGCTCGGCTCTTGTGCTGCTTAACAGGAGCTTATTGGGGTTTTTTACCTTTTTATTTTTTAAATTATTTTTTTTTTCCGCTTTTGCTGACACGCTGTTTTTTGTTATCTTTTACCACAGAAACGTTTTATTAAGGGGTTGAGGCAGTACGGCAAGAACTTCTTCAGAATCCGAAAGGAGTTGCTTCCCAATAAGGAGACCGTGAGTACATTTGGACTTTATATAATTTGCTTTTTTCTCTCTCTCGCTGCTGCTTCGCTGTTTGATCTTACGGAACTCTTTCCTTTTCACCCGGAATTCTCTTCGGATAAATGGAAGGCAGACCCACAGCCAGACAAGGTAGCCTTTAAATTTCAGCGCAGTTTTTTTTTTAGGTCTTGGGGCACGAAAGATGTTACATAAAATAGTCGTCATGGCTGGACGGAGTCGCCGAGGTTGGGTTTGAAGTGTATTTATGGGAGACCAGATCTAATTTTAAATTCTGACATTATGATGGGGATAATACATTTATGTCGCCCGGCCGGGGCTCAAATGGCATTGGGTAATTAAAGGAAGCCTAAAACAAAACAAGATCTAATTGAATCGGGAAGCCTGAGGTATGTGCCTGCTCCTGTGACCCGCAGGATTCGCTGGTTGTGTTTTAACCCTTCACCTTCCCCGACCGTGGAAGTTGTGCTGGGGAATCGATCGGTGGCTCATCCCTCTCCTGAACTTCATCGAGCTTACGTAACTGTCATTCCAGGGAAAATCCTGGCCAGGGCCTCCCAGGGAGATGGACGGGGAGGAGTGGTCGCCTCCTTCAAAGGAAAAGAGGGTTTGGGAAGCCTTGGGGGATCCAGTTACTTCTCCCTTAGTCCTAATCAAGCTTCCCTAAAAGCTTCGGTTTCTGTTCTGCAGGTGTCATTTAACAGCTGGGAGAGGTTTTCATTTCTGTTCTGAATTTAGAAAGGAGGTAACTCCCTGGAAATGGAGTTAGGTTATTTTCTAGCAAATTGTTAGCGATCTGGAAAATATTGATTTGAAGCATAACTGGTTGTTTGGACTTCTGTAGGTGTGGAGTTTAGACGTGCAGTGGGGAAGAGCGTTACTGTAAAAATATTTAATAATCTGTCACTTGCTGTGGGATGTTTCCATTCTCCTCCGAGATGTTCTTGTGAGACAGTGCTGTGATAACACAGTCTTTTGGTGGTAAATAGTAACACTGAGCAAGGCAAATAGGAAGGGGAGGATGAAACAATTCCTGGACTTACATGTTCATGGATTCTGTTCAGAAGGAAAACTTAATTACTGATTGAGTGTTGGTAGACTTTGCTTTAGTATGCTGTCGGATTTTGAGGCATGAAGGCCTAGTGCTGGAAAGATGACAGCTTAGAAGGAATGCTGAAAAGCTGTGGATCCTACAACATCTAACAAATCCAGCACATGGCTGAATCAGTTCTTTCCTCTTTCCTTCAGAATGTCTCCTCGGATGGATTTAGAACAAATTGGCGTTTGCTTTAGAAATTAATTCTGCTCGTGGTAAAGTTACTGAGAGGCAGAAGTACTCTTGTAAGTTTGAATTGCAGCAATTGTGAAATATATCTTTTTTTTTTTAAAAAACTTGAATTTATGTTTTAAATATAAAACGTATTTTTGTGAAGGAAAAAAACATTTTTTCAGGGGGGAAGGAAAAGAAAAACTGAAGAACAGAGCTGGGGGCAGGTGTCAGACCGTGTTTGTGCTACTTGATTTCTACACTGGAGCTTGGATATCAGGCTTCAGGCTTTTTCTGAAAGTTTTGCAAGTGGTGTTAAACCTCCTATAAGCTATCATTTTACAAGTGCTATGTTTTTGTTTAATTAGGCCTAATTTTTGAGTACAGAGAAGACTAAATATTAAGTCTGAGCCATGGGAAGCATCACGTTGATGGGTTTGGGCTCGTTTTTTAGCCCCTTGTGGTAACTGATCTACAAATAACCTTTGACCTACAGCGGGTTGTTTATAATCTCTGCTTCCTATTTTTGCCCACAGGCCTCACTTCTGCTTTCTTTTAATTCCCAGTTTTTTTCAGCCAGAATTTACAGCAGCTTTGCTATAGGAGGACGTTGCAGAATAAAGGCTGCAGTTAATACTTGACTGTCCAGCTTTGCTTTTCTTCCTTTGAGTGGAATAATGAGTAATGTCAGTGACAAGGCCGTGGAATTTATTTGTCCATCTTTTTTCATCACCAGAATAATTTCAGACACCTTGCCTGCCATTTCTTTATTGCAGTGTGAAGCAATCCTGTGGCAATTCCAGAAATAACTAGAAAAAGGTCTTTGCCCTCCATATTGAGATGAGGTGAAACTCCCCCCCCAAATTATTATGTGGATACAAAAGCAGTGAAGCACCTTCCAGATACTTAAAAATGTGTCAGGGGCATTCTTGGGGTGACTTACCCTAACATCTGAACACATTTAATTTATGAAGTTTACCTTCCTGGTCACTGAAGCCTGTGGGGAGATGAGCCAGGGTTTTTGCCTCTGCAAACCCCACTAAAAGTTAAATCTCCTTATTATCATGATTTTTGTACAATATGTGCCTTTTCTAAACTCTTAAATTTCTGCCCCTTTCAGTGGGGGGAGAGCTCTCCCTAATATCACCTTAAACCCTGTGGTTGGAACATGAAAAGAGGGGAAGATAAGGAATACAATGGAAATACAGAATCCTTGTAGAGACCAGGCCTGTTTTATATGAAATCAAGCTGAGGCTGCTGTGCAGAAAATTTGAATATAGAGATGAACATGACATTGTATTTCTTTTGTAGTATTGGAAGGTGTAAAGTGGCCGTGGTGAGATGAGAATTAGGCCATCCTGTACTGAATTTCACAAGTGTGTTAAGGAATGTCCTATTTGAGTTGTGCCTTGGCTTTTTTTATTCCTCCACAGTTAACATGCAGTATCTTCTAAGAAAACCTTCTATTTGTCCATGTGTGTTTTAATTAAACACAGTTTTTCAGCGTTTTTAATGGTTTATTCCAAACAAATAATCACCAAGCCAAAAGCTTTGTGAAAGAAAACATTTATTCCATATCAAAGGTGTGTTTGTTTAGGACTTCACTCTTCCAGCCTATTTCAAATTTTCACTTTTATTCCCATGTTTATGACCAAGAGGGGTTCCCAGTGGACATGAGAGTAAAGAGCTGTAGCATTTCCTTCAGGCTTTTTTACATAAGAGGCACAGGAACTGAAATCAGCTGTTACCTGGACATGCCTTGGGCTGAGGTGGGAATGCTGACATGGATCAAGGCAGGCCAGTAGCTTTAAGGAATAAAGGAATATCACTAAGTGTTAACCTTCTCATTCTCCAGAGAAAAAGTGCCTCCATGTGAGATTTTTAAATAAAATCTCTCAAACTTCCTTGGGTTTTCATTGAACTGTCTTAAAATGACCTTCTCCTCCATTCCAATGTTCCTTCCATCCTTTCCCCTTCCTCCTGAACAGTTTTCCCTTTGGTTGTAGCTGTGGTTGACTGACCCAGCTGATGAACTGTTCTGCTCTCCTTTGGTTCATGCTTGGCAGAACTTTTGATTCTTCTGCATGGTAAGCCAAGAAGTGAATTTTGGAGGTTAAACTCACATGTTGTGAGGATGGAAGGTACACAGCTGGCAGCAGTTTTTCTAAGTATCTGATTTGGCTTTGAATGTGGTTTTCCTTCCCCACCTCCCCCTCGTTTGGGGATAATTTGCTGAAACTTGGTGATAATACAGGATTTGCCAAGTATTTAACATTCTGCTCTGAATTCTTTAGGTGATTACACTGAGCTACTTGAATTGGAGAGTTTTAGGAGCACCAGCAGTTGTGATAGGCCTGAGATAAAGGTACTTAAATGCCTCAGAGGCCGGGAATTGCCTCATTGTGTTCATGGAAATAGCTTAACTCTGTGTTGGCTACGAGCAGGAGGTAAATAGAAACATGGAATGAACTTGAGCTCGTGCAGAGCAGGAGAAGGAGGAGGCCAGGCCGTGGTGGCAGCTGTGTCCTGTTCCCCTCAGCCTGCCCTTGTGCTGGTCACTCACAAACACTTGGGGAAGCCTCAGGGGGGAGGTTGCAGTTTGTTTGAACTATTTAAGGCCCCAGTCCCAGAAGAAGCAGAATTGTTTCCCTCTGGCTGGAGTTCCTGCAGCCTGTGTGGTGTCAGAGGTGTTGTCTGAGCTGTGCAACTCCAGCCTCATGCTGGGTAGCTTAGTTGGCCCCTAAACCTGGGGGTGACACCCATCTGAATGCTGTGAGGGTCTCCCATGGCTCCTGCCTTCTCCAAGGACAGTTCATGGCACGGTGATTGTGACCATGGGGGCTGTTCCTGGCAGGCTGAGCCTTGCAGAGCTGCTGGCTCAGCAGGAAGCCTGAGTAGTTTAGTTGGCCCCTAGAAACAGAGGGGGACGTGTGTGATTGTCCCTTTGGTGGCCTTGCACAGGTTCAGGAGTGATATAAAGTGACACCATTGGATGGTCATGGTGTTTGCTGCAGTTGGAGTCGTGGTTTTGGAACCCCCATGTCTTCCATGGTGCTTCTGCATGTCCTGAAAACTTGGGCTGACACCCATCTGAGTGTTCTGAGGTTCTCCCCTGGCTCCTGCCTTCTCCAAGGACAGTTTATGGCACAGGGATTGTGACATGGTGTCTTTTCCTGGCAGGCTGAGCCTTGCAGAGCTGCTGGCTTAGCAGGAAGCCTGAAAAGAGGACAGGGGATCTTTGTGGAGGCACACAGCCCCTGCTCTAATTGGGTTTTGAATTCCCCTGGTGAGCACATAGGTGTCTTTGGGGTGTGTGATTTTTGGTTTGGCTGCTGAGCAAGAGATGACAGAGTGCAATCCAGAGCTCTTGCCTCTGGGTGGGTGCTCCTTTATTTAGCTTTAAAACACAGTGTAAACAGAAGTTATGAACATCAGCTGTTTCCTTCAGATCGAAATACCTGCAGCATGCTGTGTTTATGCACAGAACAACCTAAATATGCATCATTTCTGTAGGAAGAATAGTCTCTCTTCTCATAGTAAAATCTTCCTCTCCAAATTATATGCTGCTGGGACTTACCTCAGAGACTAAGTAAGCTGAGCTCTGTTAATGTTAGGAGACAAAATGAGTGCAGTGTGAGCTTTCAGCATAAACTTCTGTTTAATTTTAGATTGGGGTTTAGATAAACAATTTTATTCTTGCCTCATTAATGCTTAATCTTGTGTTACA